ACAGACGTGACAGACTCACGACGGACACATCGCCTGACCCCTCATCGACTTGGACTGAGCTTCGCTCAGCGATTATTTTGTTTCTCCGGCTCAAATTGTGTTTGGAAACATCTTCATTTTTCCCCCCAAACAGCGCGTAACAAGTTTTTGCCGTTTTAAAAACACGCGCCGCCGACCCCTCCGGAGGGCTGCGCCGGGCTATGTGCGCGCGGGTGGCAGGAAGGCCCATCTCGTGGCCATTATTGCTGTACCTGTGCCCCGGTGTGCCCCTCTCCGGCCCACCCGGTGCCCCGCTGGCCTATCCCCGCCTATCCCCGCCCGGACAACTTTTACTATTTCCAGCATCGTTCAGAATGCGTGTGTCGGGGCCCGTGCCGTGCCGTGCCGCGGTGCTGTGCTGTGCGGTGCCGGTGCCAAGGGTAGGCAGGCCCGCCCCGCAGTCACTTTGCTCCCATTCCTCCGCCCTCAAGCACCTTCAAGTCCAGGTCGTTGGGGCGAGTGTGTCGCCTCCCGCCAGCGCAGTCACCGGACGGGAAAAGTTTCCAAACGGACATGGCCTTAGAGGGGCCCCTGCGGCCTACCACACCACGCAGCGCCCCTCTCCTCCCCTCCCCCGACCGTCGCGCGCTAACAAGGCCCACCGCGCCCACCAGAGCAAGCGAGAGCGAGACGGCCCATCAGGGTGGGAATGGCAGGTCTGCTCAGCGGATGTGTCTCACGCTCTAGGGGGGGTGTGATGTGGCCGAGGATGGGACTTACTCCGGGGGGGAGGGGGGGGGGCAAGAGGATGTCCATCGGCAAAGCGGGGGAGGAGACAGCGGCACCTCCAGATCTCGACGTCGCTCCAGACCCTTCCAGATCGCTCCAGGCCTCTCCAGGCGTTTGCCTCCGGGTCGCCACTGAGGATGACAAACCACCGGCCCAGACCAAGCGTCGTGTTTAGCTCGATTTGAGACTGGGGATGTGCCCCGCTGGAGGCAGGCATGCCCGGAAGGCCCCTCCGGCTCGCGGAACTAGACATGGGCCCTCGCGGCCCTCATTTCCGGCAAATGGCTCTTCTTTCAACTTTTCCGGTTCTGATTATGATCCCTTGCCCGGGGGATGGCAGGGGTCTGTCGGGGCGGGGCAGGGTAGGGTGGCCTGTCACAGGATGTCGCAGGACGTCACACCGAATCCGGTTTGCTAGCGAACAAATTTCGAACGATTTGTCCATCGAAATGGCAATTTCTCTTGGGATATTTTTTCCTCCGCCGGAAAGGGTGAGTTTTCCGTCATTCGTTTTTTTCGCGTTGCGGAAAGGGGTGAATAAAAACTTGAGAGTGTTTAACGTACAACCAACTGGCGACGAGAAAGCGCTGCGGTTTCATTTTTTTAAATTGGTTTCGAGGAGATATCGGCAGACAGATTAAACTTTTGGCTCAGCGAGAAGAGGCCTTTTATTATGAAAGCAGCAATTATGCCAGGAAAAAATTAACGAGTTCGGTAAAGTCGAGGAGAGGATGGGGTCGTCTGTCCTCTGGCCTCTATAGTGCGCACCAATGCATGGATCTGGGTCACAATGTGCCAGCTATTTAGGCTCTCATTGTCACTATCTTTTATCTCTCTCTATACCTATCAGCCTGATCCTCGGACCCCTTTTCCCTAAAGGCCTGATGTTTGTATATTCGCGGGTGTGGAAAGACGATGACAATGCTACAGACTCTACGATTTCCAATGAGAAAACATTGCTTCGCACTGCTTAGAAAACTAAAGATCCTGGCACCAAGTAAGCTAGCTTTAAAAAAATTCGAACATATCTTCGTACATACCAAGCATTTTTTCGTGATGACTGCGCATGTATTCGTAGGTCACAAAGCATTGCTTTGTAATTTACAAAGCTTCCGTTTCCTTCGTACACTTTTTGCAGTGTCTGCACTCCGTTCTCCATGGGACTTTACTACTCCGGCGAAAGTGATGATGCCCCAATTATTCTGCACTCCCCTGCGGGCCCCTGCGGCCTCAGAGTTAATCACAGATCCATTTCTCATTAACCCATCATCCAATCTGATTAAAATGCAGCGCGACGCGTCGCAACCCCCTCCCCCCCCTCCCTCCTCCCCGACCCTCCCGGTAGCGGCAGGGACAGGAAGTGGGTCAATACACAGTGTCCTCCTCTAGTCGTTATTATTTGCCCTCCTTCCCTCCCCCGCAGAGTTTATGAGCAAACCGAACAGGAGAGGGGTTCGGCCGCAAAGTCGGAAATAATGGGCTGAGATAAACTTCTTTCTCGTTTCCCTGCTCCCGCGCGCTTTGCCCGGCCCGTGTGTGTGTGTGTGTGTGTGTGTGTGTGTGTGTGCGTGATGTGTCCCCGAGTGGCGTTCCCTATATATTCGAGGATCGTGACTCTGCTCCTCCTTCTGCCCTGCGACATGGTTGCGACGCGGCGTGGCGCTGCGCTGGCTTCCCTTGCCTGGCCCGGCCCAAGCCCCTGGTGCTGCCTGCAGGATCCACCTTTTTGATGTCCTGGCCCCTGGCCCGGTCGCGGGGTAGCGCGGGGCGCAGCGGGGCGCGTCGTGGCATGGCATGGCTCGCACATTCGCATAGAGCGTGCAGCGCAAATCAAGCCGGGTCTGATTCAATTCAAATACCAAGCAGGGCTGCGCCGCGGCTCGCCCGGCCTGGCTTTGGTCGGGAGACAATCGAGACAGTCCTACTACACACCCTACACCTGTGCGGCGTGCGCGCAGTGCACCGCAGGCGCCTCCAGGGCTTGGCTGGGGGGCCCTTTTGCGAGTTGCATCTTGTTCACGGGGCGAGGCTGAGAGGCTTCGCTTGGGCGGCGGAGTGGTGGTGGGAACCTGATTTGGGTTAACATTTGAGGCGCGTATCTTGTACATTGGCTAACGGAGAGTGTTGTGCGTTTCCGTTTCCTGTTGCAGACCGCTGCGGGAAGTGCACGGCGAGCAGCAAACGCCTGAACCTCAGCAAGTACTGCAAGCGTGACTACGGTGAGTCCCCGTGCCCCATGCAAGCTCAGCAGGACGAAGGGAGGAGGGCCTAACTGGTGTGTTGTTTGTTGCAGCGCTCATGGGCGAGGTGGTCGGGCGCGAGGCGGTGTCGGGCGACTGGGTGCAGTACACCCTCGCGGTGCACAGCGTGTTCAAGAAGTCGAGGGAGTCCCGCCTGAGGAGGGGCTCACTGTCGCTGTGGGTCCGCGTGAGCGACCTCAACTGCAACTGCCCCCGCATCCACACGGGCAGGTGAGCGGGGCGCACCGCAGGGTCGTCGGGGTGGCTCGGGTGGCTCGTGCAAAACTGGACCAACGGTATCTGTTGTTTGATTGCAGGTCGTACCTGATCCTCGGCCAGGAGGAAGACATGGCGTCGGGATCGATCCGGCCCGGCCTCACCGCCGGCCGCCGGTCCGTCGTCATCGAGTGGCGGGAGGAGTGGCACGTCAGGATGCGGCGCTTCCAGCAGCGCTCCAAGAACTGCCCCTAGTCCAGGGCCCGGAGGGGCTGCAGCCGGGCATGTGTGTGACCATAGTGCCAGAGACGGAAGGCCGACAGAGGCCAGTTGCCTGGCTGTGATGAACAACAACTTTCTATATACGTACTATTTTCCCTTTGACAATGAAAAAATTTCAACAACAGAAAATAAACACGCGAATCTTAATAATTTAAGATTAGAAAAATGAAATTAATAATGTGGTTTGTAAAGAGAATCTATGGAAACTGTAGATATGAGTAATTGTCATGTGTAAAATTTGTGGTGTGAGTGCTGGTATGAATGAGAGGTCAAGTTTTATGTACAAATTTCATAAGGTGTTGTAAATATTGTGAATGAATGAATAAAGTATGAATGGAGGAATGAATGAGAATACTTATTTATTGTATTTTTAAAGTTTTCTGGTGTTCTTTTACAAGTACGTAGATAGATGCCATTAGTGTTACTATACAACTTACAACTGAAGTAATCAGTTCGTGTTCAAAAAAAATAATACTAATGTTGAAATTACTGAGTAATTGAAGTCTGTGTTATTTAGATTGATTCAAATAAGATACCAAAGTACCAATTTAATGGTGCTACAGCACACTTTTTATTTTGTAACATCATTAATTCAAGTTCCTTCTCTGCAGACAAGCAGCATACCTGTTACTGATTTATGTTGCTTCAATTAGAAAGTTCCTCCAACTTTATGAAAGCATCTCAATATGGATGTCTCATTCCAATTTGTGAATTAAAGAGTGTAAAACTAGGCAAGTTGTGTTTTTCTGGAAAACTTAGTCAAATTTTTCAGTTCAGTCATATTTGTAGAAAACTCATCTGCTCTGATCAACTTTAAATATTGTATATTTCATACACATAAACAGATAAATGTACTGCAGGTAATTTTTTTTTTTTTGGCAAACATGACTATTAGCTGTAAATTATCTTCAACATTTTGTACAATAATTATACAATAAAGATAAAATTATTCATAATAAAAAATTATCTAATGTTGCTTTTGAAATGGACAAATCCGTAAATAAAAATCACAGACACGTTTTTGTTCTTGAGAACAAGTGGCACATTAGTACATTAGTTTAGTACACAACAGTGTGGTGAGAATATCTTAATAAAAAGTTGAAGTTTGATATTGTTCCAGACAAACTTAGTTTAGTCCTTACAAAACTAATACCCTGTTTTGGTACAGTTGTTAAAGAAATTGGCCAAATGAGGCTATGTTACAAAGATGCACAAGCATACAACAAGAGTCTAGAGATGAGATCACCCAAATAAGATCTAGATTTAGAATATGAACACATAAGACAATGAACTACAAAGGTTCTAAAATCTAAATCCAACATTTGATTAAAGAGTGTGTAGTATGTCTCATCATACATAATATGATTTTAATCTATATGAACTGAGTAGATGTGCTACATTCAAAACAGTTACGATATGATAGTGTTAAGACTAAGGGCACTAAACATAATTCATAAAACATAATTCATAAATTTGTGCAACAAGCAGTCAGTTACTCACAAACATCTTTCATCCTGCGTAAGTAGAAAGAGTGAAGTAAATCTTTCCGAATTACCTTACATATATTTTCCTTGTCTGATGCTAAATAAACTTCACTGTGAGTATGACATTTTCTTGCAGAACTCTTTACAAAAAAAAAATACTGTTCCTGTGTGTCTGATTCGAGTAAGGAAGTGCAACGCAGCATGACGGATTGCAAAGTCTGATACACAAAACATGGTCTGGCAGACATCTTCCTAGATATTGATGTCATTACTACAAATATTATTAGTACTATATGGTTGAGAATTTTTTCTAGAACTATGTCGATCTTAAGTAAGTCACTGGTCTCCGAGCAAGGGCTAACGATAAGTGATCCCTTGTCCGAGGCAGTTGATATCATGGTTCCTCCCTCGCTATGACTGGAACTCTTAATGTGGCAGCTCCAACTCCATATCGACGACATTGCATAGCTTGCACACAATGCCACCTGTATGAAAAAATGCTTAAAAAAAACGCAACAAAATAATTACAGAAATAACTACAGAAAGTTTTCATTACCTATTAGTACGAGGGTTGAATTTTTCAACTGTATTTGTGTAGTGCACTCCATTGTAGCCCCCCACACAGTAGATACGATTATCTGACACAGAGATGCCGAAGCTAGCTCTTGCAATTGACATTGGAGAAACAAAACACCACTGGTTAGTCAGGGTATCATACCTACACAGAAAGAGATGCATTAACAAACATTATGAAAACAGATAAAATAGGTATTAAGAGTTTCAAAGATATATTTTATTTTACCTCTCTACAGATCTTAACCAATGCTGTTGCCCACCAATACCACCAGCAACATATATAAACTGGTCAATGGCAACACATCCAAAGTCATACCTTGTTTCATTTAATGAGGCAATTCTAAACCACCGATTTTCATTTGGATCGTAACGTTCAACAGAGTTCAAAACTGTGCCATCCCCTGCAAAGAGATAGAATTTTTGTTTGAAATTATTTCACAATGGTATGAGCCAATGGATTATAGCAATTAGAATTAAAATTAAATCTTTACCTGTTTTACCTCCAACAGCATACAGTGCTCCACCAACAGTAACAAGGCCATGAAAAGCACGAGATGTCCGCATAGGAACAGATGGTTTCCAATTGGAACATTTTTCATCCAAGCACTATAGAAAAACATGAAACATAAAATTAGCACGCATATTATTCATTAATCAAGCTTAATATATGGGTGCTAAGTGTATTACTGGACTCTCACCCATGACCTATTCTCCGCTCCTTCTTCACTCTGCCCTCCAGTGACAAATAGCTGTCCGTGCAAGAAAGCCATCCTCACACCTGTCAAAGCTAATGGAAGCGCTGGAAGAGATGTCCATTCATTCTTATTCACATGAAATACTTCCACACTTGCTATTGGAGTTGAGGGAGTAGAACCACCTTCAAATGAAGACACAAAAATATTTGATACAGTGCAATATTTAAAGTTAGAAACAATTATAATAAACATTATACATACCTGCTACAAAAACTTTGTCGTCGGAATAACACACACCAAAAAAACTACGAGGTCCTTTCATGGTGGGAATGACTTTAGTATCCTCACAAACTCCTCCAGCATTTTGAACAGCTGTTGGAATCACACACTTCCAATTATCATAGCCTAATGTGAGGCATTCCACACTACCAAGAGCCATGCCATTCGATTCTCCCCCAAGAGCCAAAATCACCTTAAAAGTTATGGAAAAACAATTATATAAGTAATGAAGTTAGTGAAATAGATTATAATCAATGGATTTCTTTCAATCAGTTCATATTAACACAGATGGAATACCTCTTGATCATCACAAAATCGTAACATACGCCTGGCCTTCTCTTTGTAGCCAGTAGCCCATAATGTTCGTACGTCTGAATCATACCTCTCTTCAAGAATTGTGTTGATTGTATGTTTGATTTGCAATTGAAGGGTAGAGTTCTGAACAACAGGATCTTGCTTTGATTGCACAAGAGTGTCCATAGGCACTTGTATAAGGTGTATTGCTGATGAGAGTTTGTCTAAATCCTTTAGTCTATGGCAAGGATCGTGCTTAACCCAAGCAATTATTATCTGTACAAGAACAATACAGTTTAGTGGTTTCGTAATAATACTGCATAAAAAAAGGGAGAGTTTTTCATTTATCTTAGCATCACCTTAAGAAGAAATCCTTCATCTGGAATATTCAGAATTCGACCCTGAAAAACTTTTAAAAGCACATCTACGGGAGCAAGAAAATATTCTTCATTGGTTGCAACCTCACAGAGATGTTTGCGAGTAAAGCGAATAGCTGCATTAGCCAGATCATTGTAACCACTGTGAAGGCTTGCAGCTGTTAAAACTGATAAGCAGTTAAATGGAGTAAGAGAGCTCAAGAGGAATGAAGTACATGCTGTGCGAATAGATGACAGTTGTAATATATCAGCTATTGACATTAGATCATAAACATTATCATCAGTAACCTGCAACAAAAGTAATCTCATTTAGTTAAATGAAAAAAAAAACAAAAAAAACAAAAAAAACATGGCAGACCCAAACCCACAACTGCATCAAAATAAAACACTTTATACTTAAGTATACCTTCAGCTCAGTTGTATAAATAAAATTCACAACCTCCTGGAGCAGATCAAATGAAATTTCACGCATTTCAACTTTATTTTCTGAGGCCTCACGTAGTTTGCAGGTAAACATAGCACTAAAAGATTAAAAAGTGTAATAATTTTGAGCACTCTAACAGGAATATCATATCCAAAGCATATTTTACCGAAAATAAGGTGATGCTGCCGCAAGAACGATTTTGTGAGCAGCAATTTGCTTTCCCTCAGCAGTGAGAAGAACATCGCAGAGAGTGGCAGACCTCCACAAATGGCACAGATTTTGATGAACACAGGTTGGAAGTAAACTATCTGCATACTGCAGATTGGTAAATGTGTCTTCCTCCTGAAATGAAGTAAACAAATTTTGTAATGTTTAATTTGAAAGAAAAGAAAAAGAAGCCAAAAGCCTCAGTGCTCTCATCTGACAGTCTTAATGTTTTACAAAGCAGAGGCAAAGAAGAGATCATTAGCTTAGTTTGATGAAGAGTACAAAGTGCATGAACAAACATCGACAAAGTCTAGTGAGAACAAAGTAAAATAATAAACAGTTACCACAAGTGAAAATTGATAACCACACATTGTACTTATGTTTAAAGCCTGTGCAAACAGCATAATATAAGAAGAGAATTTGACAAACCATTTTTTTGCGAAGCTGGCAGATATTCCAGGCGGAATAAAACCAGGAAAATTCGTCACGTAATTATTTCCTGAACAAACAAACAAAGAGTATGGTATGGGTAAAGGCAATGACCTTTGCTGAGGCACAAACATATAGGATGAAGTCGCTACATGCAAGATCTTGAGCAAGCTCTATTTACCATTGCACTATACGTGTTTTGCTCGATAATTATCCCCCTTGGCTGCTTTAACGCTGAAATTGTGAAATCTTAACGCAGCATAGAAAGTAAACCAACTACAAGTATGCTTTTGTTGACATGAAGCAGACGAGAGCAGGAGCAGAAGTTCAAAATGTCTTTTCCATTCATATCAACATTGCAGTTGGAGTCTGCTGCTACCTACGACCACGGCTATTTGCACGCAACTAAAATCCCCGGTGCTTCGGGGACGACAGGCTGGTAAAGAACGTTGTTTGTCTTACTGTACCGGAAAGTCAAATTATGGAGTGTCAACGTAGCGATTTTCCTGGAAATTTGTTTTTCTGATTCGTACCTGTTGTCAGATTTCATCGTAGAGCTGGTATGCATTGTTTACGTGACTCGCAGGGGGATGCTCCGGATGCACTATTTCGGTCCGCGGTCTGCTGTGTTTAGATCTTTAGATCATTGTTTTTTTTATACATTTCAATGTTTTCCGACGTCTTACCTCAAATTTTCCTGGAAAACTCACACTGATGTGTTCCCATTTGATATAATCTGTAGCTGTCTAGTTGTATTTTTTTCATTTTTTAAAACTTTTTGCTCTGTGTTATCACTCATAGCTCATAGTTATTGTTGTTGTCCTAATGATCTGGGCTGTAACATATCCCACTATTTCCTTTTTAGAACCATTAACTACTGTCATGGTGGACACAATTCTGTTGGGGCAACCATGCCCTAAAACCCTTCAACTTGATCAATCATGTCTTGAAGTTTATTCTACTATTCCTCATCAAATTGATCTGTGGCACCAGTACATTGATTGTTATCTAGTGAGTTCTGTTGTTCTGATGTTTTTAATAGACTTTAAAATATGGTCAACAACGTAGTAGTGTGATGACTGTTGCTTTTTTTTGCCCTCCAGTGTAATGCCACACATTGGACCACTATCCCTCCAAATGGAACTGCTGCGCTACTCATGAATTCAGCTCTTTCAAGCTACTTTTATTACACAAATGAGCTGGGTCATAAATACTGCAAGTAAGAATCATCCAGCTTTGTCTAATATAAGGTACAATTTGCATGGGTACTCTACTATACTATCCTGCAATTCTTGTAGCACTACGGTTTCTTTTGATGAACATGCTACTTATGGATGGAATATATCAGAAGCCAGTAGCTGTTCTAGTGTCAAGAAAATCAGTAACCCCTCTACTCATCCTCATTTGCGTAAGTAGAAAAAGTGAATTGTGGTTAAATAAATCATACTAATAAAAGATTCATTGTAGTTAGTTTCATCTTTTCATGGTTACTTGTTTTCCTGGTTCTTGTAATGCAATTGTTGTTCTCTGTAGCTTTTGTTGTGGCATTCCTTGTCTATGGAATTGGTGCCGTTCTTTGGTCAGTTGCAAGATGTGTTTACCGGCAAGAGTGGTCAGCTAGGGTATGGTTACTAAATGTCACCTTCTCTGAACTTGAAAATGTGAGTACTTGTTTTAGTTATTGGGTCAAGAAATAGTTTGGTCAGACACTTTCTGATAGTAAATTTAGTGAGCTTTAATGCAGAGGGTAACCACAAACTCTCCAAGACTATCTTGTAAGAGCTCCACTGCGAGATTTCGTCTGAATGCTGTGAAAGCATCTCAGAATAGGGTGAGACTTTATATCCTCTGGTGTCAATAAATTATTCATTGGGTTAATATTAAAAAATATGGACATTTATAACTATCCTTTTTGTTCATTAGTCTTTCCAAACAAATGCAGCTCTTCTTAAGTCTTTAATTACAGGATCTGGGATCACCACAGACTCGGGAAATTTCTCCAGCTATGTCTCGCTTGGGGAGTACAAGGAGGCAAATAAACTCACGTGTTAAATCCTTGGATACCTTTCGTGGGTTAGTAGACTTACAATCTTTCCTCAATATTTTAAAATAAAAACAGTTGCTTTTATTTATTGTTTTGATGTTTTACTTTACAGTATTTGCATTGCTATGATGATATTTGTGAACTATGGTGGAGGTCAATATAGATTCTTTCGCCATACACCCTGGAATGGCATGAATATTGCCGATGTTATATTTCCATGGTAAAACAATACATTATTTCTGGCTTACTCTATAACAGTGTTCAATTTTAGATAATGACAAGTTTTCAATTTTCAGGTTTTTGTGGGTTATGGGAATGTCCCTTGTGTTGTCGTTGAGATCTCAACTCCGAAGTGATCGTTCTCGTTTCTCGGTCTGGATTACTGCTTTACGTAGATCAGTAATGCTTGTTCTGCTTGGGCTCCTACTAAATTCTTTTGGCCATCTCCACAACGACTTGTCAAATTTTCGTTTTGGAGGAGTTCTACAAAGACTTGGAGCAAGTTTTTTCATTATTTCATCAGTTGAAACCATTTTTATGAACTTGCAAGGCCCATCTCAAGTAGGTTTCTGCAAAATTAATTTCAATGTGGCTTTGTAACTGTTGTCAGACATTACCTGTGATATGATTGAATCCTCTTGTTTCAGTATGGGCTTCTCTCAGACTTTTGGGATGGCTGGGCACAATGGGTGTGTGCTCTGGCCTTTGCTGGAACATGGATGCTTATTACATTTTTAGTAGATGTTCCAAACTGTGGGCCTGGGTATGTCGGTCCAGGTGGACTGCACAAATTTGGTAAATTTGAAAATTGCACTGGAGGTGCTTCAGGTTATCTTGACAGAATGATCTTGCACCCTAATCACATGTATCAGAATCCCACTTGCAAGAAACTATATCAGTCCACCCAACCATATGACCCAGAGGGTATGTTTTACTGCAATATAACAGAGTTTCAGTATCTACCCGCATATTTATAAAACTTCTAATTTTATTGAGATATGAATTACACCAAATTTTGTTTTTAGGATTACTTGGAACATTGACAGCTGCATTTTTAGTTCATCTTGGTGTTCATGCAAGCAGAATTATGCTGTGTTATGATTACTCCAAACGCCGTATTGCTCGTTGGTTATTTTGGGGAGTTGTTGCTGTGAGTTTCTCCTACCTCCTTGTTTTTTTTTTTTTAATCGGTTTTTATCTGATTTGGTTTTCTTAATCTTTTTATGGTACAGTAATCAATTAATGGACTGGCTTTGCTTTTAAGGTAATGACTGGATTAATGCTCTGTGGTTTCTCAAAAGAAACCGGCCATATTCCAATCAACAAAAATCTGTTTTCTCTCTCTTTTGTGTTGGTAACTGGAGGATCAGCCTATTTGGTTTTTGCTGCCTTGTATTTCTTGATCGATGTTCGCAACTGGTGGTCTGGTGCTCCATTTAACTATGCAGGTAAGTTTTTCTAATTTGAGACAAATTTGAGTGTACTGTTCTAGATATTTTGTGTGCTTGATTGTACTAATTTATTCTGGTATTTCTGTGTTATAGGTATGAATTCAATAGTTCTATTTGTTGGACATGAAATCACAAGAAATATGTTTCCATGGAGTTGGAAACCTTACTGGGGAACTCATGGAGAGTATCTTGGAATGAATCTATGGGGAACAACTCTCTGGATAATTATTGCTTTCTACCTATTCAAGAGGAACATTTTTGTTACAATCTGAAATATTTCCAATGTAGTCAAATGACATATCTGTCTTAATTATTTGAGTACAGTTATTGGTGCAGCAGTTCTCATTATATTAGTCAAAAGACCGTAAAGTGGGTACAATACACTATTGAGGTTGTTTGACTTCTTCATACCAATGAATTTAATGACTTTACAGGATTGCAGGATTATTAACTCATTTAGTAAGTCACTGAGATGACTAAAATTAAAATGTTTTAGATTAGATTAGATTCTTTGAAAAAAATGAATAGGATGGACAAATGTGAGATGTAGTACTGTATTGCCTGAGAGATTTTAGACTGTTTACACAGCGAAGTAATGTTTGCATAGGTATGGTAATGGACTGTGACAACAAAAATGTATTTCTTATCTTGCCTGTATTTTACATACAGGTTTATAGATGTAAAAATAATTTTGACAGAGCAGTAATCTAAATTTGGGCTGAGACACATTTTATTGCATGTTCTTACCTTATGGTAATGTTATCTATTCAAATATTTAATTTGTATTCTTTACACATTTCAAAAAATGCAAGTTAAATTATGTCAGTTGCAAATTTGATTTGACTGCAATTTCATATTTCGATTGTTCAGTGCATGCTATTATGCTGCATGTTTGTGTTATGTTTGACAGACTGTTATTCTTATTGTGGTTGTGCACCATAACATTTGTGATAAAGCTTTAGATTAAGATTATTTTATTTTATTTGACTTATTAATGTTCTTTGGATTTTTTTCTCTCTAACCATTGACCAATATGTGTGCTTCCACTTACTCTAGAACCTTACTATTTTTTTAGTCTACTTAAAATTAAAGCCCAGTAACCATTAGCATTAAAACATGGGAAAGGTATATTTGTCATGATAATTTTTGTTGTTTACAATTATACCAGAGATTTTATTGTAATGATGTACTACTTATATCATGTGTCAATATTTTTCTGCTTTGAAAAGTTACTTTGTATTCCTCCCCATCAGTAGTTTTGCTCAACTTTTATACATTAATCTGTATTACAAATAAAGATAAGATCTATCTAAATTCCTGTGTTATCTTTGATAAAAGAACGGATATCTTTATGAGCAAGATTTGTGTACACTCCTGGAAATCCGGGTTTTCCGCAGCCCATTCCGAAGGAAACCACACCCACCAACTTCCTAGGGCCCGTACTAAGTGGTCCTCCACTGTCTCCCTGGGGAAAGAAAAGGAAAATAGTGCTTTGAAAACTTAAATAACAACTTATCACTAAATTTGAGTAATGTAGAAGCACTACACGTAATAAAAAGAACACGTCATGCTGATGTTACTGAGGCCCGCGAGACAATGTCGTGAAGGAAACGTCTTTCTGGAGCAGAAGTGCGCCTTTTGACAATTTTTAAGCCACCACATCACTTTGACTCAAATTAAGTGACGGTCAGGTAAGGTCATGCGACCACACGGCGGAGTAAAAGATAGGCCTATTAGTCCGTGACCATACGACGAGGCGATGCTACCCCACGCGCACAGAGACCTTTGCTGGGCGGCGGAGCATACACAATAAAATAGGAGGATAGTGCACCTCTTGCATCTATTTCTACCATGGTTCTACCTAGGTAGAACGGGGATCGAAACCCGCCTTGAGAGAATGAGCAAGTACTCTCCGGATGCTATAGCGTAAATTTATATACAGGCGTGGGGGCTGTCCGCAGTATCTCCTAGCTTCAATGCAACTTGGTAAGTACGAAAGAATAAGCCCAGCCAGAAATTGAACGTCGACTAAACGTTGAATCGACGACGAAGTTGATGTTACGTTGAATTTTGGACCAATGGTCAGATCAAGGTTGATTCAACGTAGACATTCATCAACGCCGACGAATTTCCGGCTGGGAAGGAATCCGTTACCTGGCATGCATCTTGAAGGGGATTTCCGGCGCAAATCATACGGTCTGTGATTTTTTGTTTCGCCTTTTCTTCGTATAAATCACTGCAGTTCTTCCGATCCCACGTTGTTAGGTCGGCTTTCAGTAGACGTTTGGATAGTCTCGAGTGCTAGGTATCAGAACACACCATACTAAACTTTTAATAACATACACAGTCCAGCAAATCCAATATTTCCAATCTTAATGAGTCGTCTGCTGGGTAGGGGATGGTCCAGAGAGTACTTTTACACCCATAAGTCGGCGTTATGAACCTGCCAAGTTCAGGCTCTGCATTGCCTCTAATAACGCCTGGTAGGTAGGCAACATATTGTCCGCATTGCATGCACGTACTGCGGGGTGGCCTACCCCGAGTCTCACAGGCGGCACCGAGCTCTCGTATTTAGCCAAATGAATCCGTGAAAAACGGACGAACTTTCTGGACGATCCCTTGGCCATTCGCAGCCCAATCCACAATCAGTTGGGAAAATGCGGCGGCATGACCCCCACCTCCCTCACGTAATGAGCACGAAGCGAGCGAGCTCCTGGTTTGGACCCACCTCCTGCAGGGCGCCGTAGCCGGTCACCTGGACTCGGCGCCTCGCGGGCACGGGGCCGTCCACCTGAGGAGGCAGCTCTCCCTGCTGCACCGTCTGGCTGAACTCAAACGGTTTGGTCACGTGTAGCACGCTGATGTCGTAGTCGTAGCCTGCCGGCCCGGGGTGCACCAGGATACGGTCCACGGGGTGCAAGCTTCCCCCGAACTGCCGCAGCGTGGAGCCGGCGCGCACGCGAAAGTCCATGGCCTTCTCGGAGTTGCTGCAAGCGAAGCACAAAAACGCATAGTGCTCTGTGGAGAAACTCGCCATCGCCGTCCTCCAGACCGGACCGGAGTGCGCTTCCCCGGGCAGAGATGAATAAGGTAGCAACGCGATTGCAGGGCCGCTCGGCCCGCCACCGTCGCGCTGTCCTGCGTGCGCAGGGTAGGCCACCCACCTGCCCGGGAAGCAGTGCCTTGCCGAGATGACCCAGTTCTTGGAGATGATGGCCCCACCGCAGCTGTGGCGACCAGACTTCTCGATGGACACCTATCAACGGTAGTCGTGAGCGACTTGGTCCCGCGCAGTAGCAGTGTCGGCATAGAGGGAAGGTTGCACGGGGCTCCTTCACGAAGACGGAACTTACTTGATAGGGATAATCCACGATGTCTACATCGTCACCGTTGACAATTCTCATCCCGATGGCAACTGGGGTATGAACATTAACATTACAGATGACGCTCAAACTCTACGCAGAGCGAGGCGAGAGTTAGGCCCCCCTACCCGTGGTTGTGCTGTCGGCCTCGGCCGCAGTCGCGGCAAACAGGACCAGGTGGGCCAGCCATGGGGACAGCTGCACGAGAAGGCGGGAGCGCCAGCGCGGCCAGCACCGACCTCCCTGGACGACAGCACCCCATCGCGCCCGACAAAAAATGGATCCTCAACATCGATTTTTATTTTATATTTGTAGAGAGGGTTTGTATTAAATCGAGATCGAAGACGTTGAACCCAAAGGAGTAACCGTTATCGCTACACTATCGACAAACATTACGTACTTTACCTTCTTGACGGGAGCGCATGGTGCGGGGCGAGGCCAGCTCGAGAGGCGGCCAGCGCTGGCAACGCAGGGCCACCAAGGAGGCTGCCCCGCCTCACCCACTCTCTCCCTCCCCCTCTTTCCCCCTCTCCCTACCACCCTACCTCCTTCCACTCTCTATTCGTCCCTCCTGGTCCTTCCCTTCCGTCCTCGCGGATGGTGGTTCGCGCCGGCGGTTGTACTACTGTACCGCATGCAGGCTCGTGGTCGGTTTGCCTACTCGCCCGGGGCTCCTTGACGGTTGGCAAACTCGCCCTTGCCCGCACAACCGTATGCGACCTCAGGAAATGTAAAGTTTTGTGTCAAGGTATTTCAATTTTCCTTCGGAAAAGTGAGATCAATCAACAATGTAAATTGATTTGAAGAAAAAAAAAATGTGCTCAAATGTTATTGGGTTACTTAAACCATTAATATTAACAAGAATCATTTTTTAAAAATACGC